CTCACCACTGCTTTTCAATATAATACTGGAAGTCCTAGCCAGAGCAATAAGACAAGAGAAAGACATCCAAGGAATCCAAATAGGAAAAGAAGAAGTCAAACTATCACTATTTGCAGATGATATGATAATATACATAGAGAACCCAAAATCTCCACAGAAAACTAATTCAACTCATCAATCAATTCAGTAAAGTGGCAGGATACAAAATCAACACGCAAAAGTCAGTAGCCTTCCTATACACAAACAATAAATCTGAAGAAGAAGAAATCAAAAAAACCACCCCTTTTATTATCGAAACAAAAAAATCAAATATTTGGGAATAAAATCTAACTAAAGAGGTAAAGGACCTATACAAAGAAAAACTATAAAACACTGTTAAAAGAAGAAGAAGACACACAAAGAAATGGAAAGACATCCCCTGCTCATGGATTGGAAGAATAAACATTATTAAAATGGCCATCCTACCAAAAGCAATATACAGATTCAATGCTATTCCAATCAAAATCTCAATGGCATTCTTCAAAGAAGATAGAACAATTATTGATGAAATTCATATGGAATCACCAAAACCCGAATAGCCAAAGCTCTACTGAAAAAAAAAGAAGGAAATGGAGGCATCACACTCCCAGACTTCAAACTATACTACAAAGCCATAATCATCAAAACTGCATGGTATTGGAACAAGAACAGACATACAGACCAATGGAATCGAATAGAAAATCCAGAAATAAACCCACAGATTTATGGTCAACTAATCTTTGACAAAGGAACGAAGACTATGCATTGGAGCAAAGAAAGTTTGTTCAATAAATGGTGCTGGGAAAACTGGGTCGCTACATGCAAAAGAATGAAGCTTGACCACTACCTCACACCATACACAAAAATCAACTCAAAATGGATTAAAGAACTAGACATAAGACCTGAAACCATAAAATACATAGAAGGAAATATAGGCGAAACACTACGGGATTTGCACATCAAAGACATCTTTACAGACACATCACCCAAAGCAGTGATAGTGAAGAGAAAGATAAACAGCTGGGACTACATCAAATTAAAGAGCTTCTGCACAGCAAAAGAGACAATAACAAAAACAAAGAGAAACCCCACCAACTGGGAGAACATTTTTGCACCCAACACTAATGATAAAGGACTGATCACAAAAATCTGCAAAGAGCTGATGAGACTCAGCAACAACAAAGAAAATAATCCAGTCAAAAAATGGGCAGAAGAGCTAAAAAGAAACTTCTCTGAAGAGGAAATGCAAATGGCCAACAGACATATGAAAAAATGTTCAACATCACTTGTAATCAGGAAATGCAAATCAAAACTACCATGAGATACCATCTCACACCAGTGAGAATGGCACATATAAAAAAACTAGCAACAACAAATGTTGGCGAGGATGTGGAGAAAAAGGAACTCTTGTGCACTGTTGGTGGGAGTGCAAACTGGTCCAACCACTATGGAGAGCTGTGTGGAGATTTCTGGACCTACTAAACATAGAGCTTCCATATGATCCAGCAATTCCACTCCTAGGTATTTACCCAAAGGACACAGAAACATCAATTCCAAAGAGCACCTGCACTCCTATGTTTATAGCAGCACTGTTTACAATAGCTAAGCTTTGGAAACAACCAAATGCCCAAAATAGATGACTGGATCAAGAAGATGTGGTACATATATACCATGGAATATTACTCAGCATTCAAAAAAGATAAACACATGCAATTTGCAGCAACATGGATGGCACTGGAAGGGATCATGCTCAGCGAAATAAGCCAAAAAGAAAAAAGAAAAATACGGATGGTCTCACTCATAGCAGGAATCTAGAAAACTTAAATAAGGGACCAGGAAAATGAATATAAGAAAGTGAAAATCAAAATCAACAAAAAACTATGAACCAGAGACACTTTTTGGGGGGGCGGGAGGGGAAGGATTGGGGTCAGAATGGGGCGTTTGCAATTGTATGGGGGAATATAAAAATAAAATTTAATATTAAAAAAAAATAAAAAATAAAAAAAAAATAAAAAAAATAAAGGAGAGGGTATTATTCTGCCCACCACAGCTTTTTATTACAAAAAAAGTTTAATAATCTACTGTTTGCACAACAGATGCATCTCTAAATAGATTAATGTAAATCTAATTCTATTTCAAAGTAAAGTGGACCTTTGCTCAATGAACTGCTTTGTGACTTCCAACCGGAGGCAGAAATATGACAAGGATGCCTTGCTATAGTACTGCTCTACTAACCGAGATGGCATCCATGTATAATACTTTTTAAGCAAAGTAATGAAATAATATAAAAATATCACAAAATACTCAGAGGCCACGATGGTATGAGCACTAGGACAAGAAATTCAATGCTCATGACCAAATTTAAAAAATATTTTTACCCACCTTATCCTAACTAATTACCTAAAATCATGAGATTGAGTAAAATTTTTATTTTGTATCTATCACATGCTAAAATAAATATGTAACTACTAAAACATGAAATATAAAATCTTCATCTTCTTGTTAGCCAGAGTATATGCACTTTTTCTGGAGAAACACAAAGTCAGATAGTTCTAAAGTTCATTAGAAAAAAAAAGAAAGCCTCCATCATACAGGCATCTAAAGAAGTGGGCAATGATAGAATCAGCACTAATAAATTCACTAAGCAGAACTTATGAGAATTCTGTGACTCTGGATACTTTTTTACTCAAATAATTTGAAATATTTTTCAAAAACTTATGACAATCAAGTTTTTGGCTCATAGGATGATTTTTAAGGAATAACAATTATAAAGAAGGAAAACCTGAGTTTTGTTATGTCACTTGTCATCACAATTCTAAAAATTCCTTCATTGTGTTTACCGACTTCATTTACCAACTTTTCATCTGCTTTTGAGTGGAAATTCCTAAATGGTATTATTTGTTGATCTGCAAACCCTGTGTAACAAAAGCTTTTTCCTCAAATGGAGTCATTCATTGAATCAGAATATTCATCTAAAACACTTGTATGGAGGGGGCCTCCCGGTGGCGCAGTGGTTGAGCGCTGGGTTGAGAAGCTGCCTGCAGCTTCCGCAGCAGCGGTTCGATCCCCCAGCTGCCGGGCGAGGGTCCCAAATGGCGTGCAGACCCCTCCCACCGCCTGCTGCTCCCCTCAGCAGCGTACCTTGTCAGTCTGCCTGTTCTGCTCTCCACTCTGGCTCTGGTGAATTCTCTCACTCTCCCGCACTTCTGACTATACCCAGTGCTTGTATAAATAAATAAAAAATAAAATCTTTAAAAAAAAAAAACCACTTGCATGGAAAAACAAGTGATTTCATTTGAATTTTCTATTTCTTAAGAAGTTGCTTTGATCACAAGTGACTCCAGTTCCTGGAGAATAGTCTGTGCATGATTTCTTTCAGGCCAGACCAAACAGAAAACCCAAATACTGAAAAGAAGTCCTCCCATTACACATGTCACACTACACAGAGAGAATAAAAAGGGAATGCCAAAACCAGGTAGATTCTAATTACTCAAAGGAACTGTCATATAATATTACTGATTCTCTGTTCATGAGTATGCGCCAAGTAATTTTTCCTAAGGTCAGGGTCATTTGATTAGAAAAGATTATATGCAACCTGTCCTTGATCTCCACTGTGGTCACCAACAATACTACCTCATCCCTTGAAGCAGAGCAGACTAACCTCAGTTCCTTGGCCCAAGCAGTGTTAGATAACTGCATACCCCTCAACTTCCTGCTGGTCAATCAAGAAGGGGTTTTCAGGTTTTGTTATTGCCAGCACCTCATGTTTTACCAAGATCACTGAAACTGGCAAAGTAGAACAGCCTATCACCAAACTTAAGAAAAAAGCCTCTTGGCTCTCTGAATTAGATTGGGTGGGCGATAGGTGACCTAATTCCTGATATGGCAACAATTGGGGCTCATGATTACAATCAATCCCCCTAGCAGACCTGATCATACTGCTTGGAGTAATTCTGGTCACGACCCTGCTCCATACTGTCTCAGACTAATTACCTGGTTTTTAAAATAGCTCCTCAAAGTCTGACTCATTTAGTTCCATAACAAGGTAGCCTATGTTTCTCACTCAGGTCCTAAAATCAGGGATAAAATTGAGGAGTCTGATTAAAAACCTATGTGTGATATTTCAGGCCCAACAATAAGCAAATATCTCATGGTAGGCCTCATAGGGAAAAGCTGTCTATCCCAGACCTGACTTAGTTCACTGAGTCTCTGAAGGAAGTTATGTTCAAGGACTGCAGGCAGTGTTGGCTAGTCATACTCTTAGGCATATCTACATTGAAAGGCCTCACTATATGGAACCTTAGTGGTTAACCTTAGTGGTTCCATATAGTGGAGAGGGGGGGACCTTAATGACATTTTCTGCACTCTAAGTAGTTTTTCACTCCTAGCCCTTCCCCTTCTCTCTTTTCCCACTCTGACACTGGGCCAGTAGGAGTGTTTTGCTAAAAGCTCCCTAAGCAGTGAAATTATGCCCTAGGTCTGTGCTTGTTCACTGGAACCTCACTGGTGCTGTTCTATTGGGGAAAGTTGAATAGTGAAGGAATAGGTGCTTTCTCTGGTTTAACTGTTTGCTTATACTATCACAGTAAGTAAAAGGTTTAACTGTTTGCTTATAATATCACAGTAAGTAACTAAAGGCTTGACTGTTGACTGTTTCATTTTGGCTTGTTGCATTAATCAGCTACTCTGAGAGCTAGCAATTCAGCTCTCTCCAGCTGATACTAAGTTCTTACAACAGAACTTAATTTTTGTTGAGGATCCCAATAATCACATACAATTTATAGCATCTTCTACAAATAGATACAAATGTATACAAATGTTATTCTACAAATGACCAATATAGACTCTTGGTCATTATATTATTTTATTTAAACATATCTACCATAAATAGTTCAGGAACTTCTTTGTTGATCTGACACCGAGTCCCACATTTAAGATGACTTAATTCCTCTGGTATTAATGCTTGACAATTTGGCACATACCTTTTGCCCCTGAGGCCCTGGAGGCCCTTCTGGACCTGGAAATCCAGGCAAACCTGGATGGCCTTCCAAACCTGGCAATCCTCTCTCCCCCTGCAAATGAACAAGAATAAAAGGTAAGATGGTTTGTGAATTTTCAAGCACAAGAGTGGTTAATATTAAAAAAATATCTTATGACTATCTATAGAAAACTAGCTTAATTTAATGATACAAAATTCACAGTATCCACTAGCAGTAGGAAATTTGTAAGGTGTGAGTAGAAAAACACAATCACTCTGAATTTGTTTTAGCTATTTAGGGCCTTTTGTGGTTCCATATAAATTTTATAATTGCAGTTTTTTTAAAAAGATTTATATTTATTATAGGGTAAGTTAACATAAGGAATTATTCAATACAAAATCATATAAACGATCTAGATGAAACTTAGCACTTACAAAAATACACACATACAAACACACACAAAAAGAAAAACAAAAAAGCACTCTGAATTTATATCATACATGGTAATATAATCTCTTGCTTTCTTGTAAAAATAAAAAGTGTATCAGAGATGAAGCCAGGTTTAAACATACCAACATCAAGAGCTTAATAAGAAAGGTGGAAATAAATCCAGGAAGCTAGGTTTACAGGGGTTACAGAAAGTAAGCATGGGGGAAGGATGAAGAAAAGTAAAAGGAAACAATAAGAGACGCTTTCAAATTATTGCAGAGTTATCAAAAATTAACTCATTAGCTAATTGGAGATAATTCAGAGAAGGTGGCAGGAGAGTGCAGTAGAGTACTGGTAGAGGATTGTAGGCACTTTAGTGATGGGGAAATTATGGGCTGGACCAAAGGGGAGAAATCCTATATTGTGAAAAAACAAGGATGTTTCAAATAAATAAATAAACAAATACTGAACATACTCTTACTATATGCTCCAGCAACTGAACTCCTTGGTATTCACCCAAAAGAGTGGAAAACTTATGTCCACATAAAAACCTGTACATAGTTATTTAAAGCAGTTTTATTCACAATTGCCAAAACTTAGAAGCAACAAACATGTTCTTCAGTAGTTAATGAATAAACTGTGGCACATTCGGACAATGGAATATTATTCAGTTCTCTAAAGAAATTAGCTATCAAGTCATGAAAAGACATGGAGAAAATTTAAATGCATATTATTCAGTGAAAGAAGTCAATCTGAAAAGTCTGCATACTATATAATTCCAACTGTTTGACATTCTGGAAAAAAACAAAATTATAGAGATAATTAAAAGTAACCACTGGGGGCCTCCCCAGTGGCGCAGCGGTTGAGCGCTGGGTTGCGAAGCTGCCCGCAGCCTCTGCAGTGCCGGTTCAATCCCTGGCTGCTCCCTGGCCACCAGAGGAGGGTCCCACATGGCGCGCAGACCTCTCCTGCCGCCCGCTGCTCCCCTCAGCAGTGTACTTCGGTCCTTCTGCCTGCTCTGCTCCCCGCTCTGGCTCTGGTGAATTCGCTCACCCTCCCGCGCTTCTGACTATACCTAGTACTTGTATAAATAAATAAATAAATCTTTTAAAAAAATAAATAAAAATAAATAAATAAAAATAACCACTGGTTTCCAGGGATAAGGATGGAGGGAGATGAATAGGTGGAACACAGAGGATTTTAAAGCAGGGAAAATACTATAATAATATAATAATATAATAGTAGAGAACATTCATTGCACATTTATTCAAACTCACAGAATATATAACACCAGCAGTGAATTATTAAGTATAAACTATGTAATATTGATGAATTAATTATAGGTTCATCAATTTTAACAAATGACAATTACGAAGATGTTGATAGTCGGGGAGGTTTACATATGTATGCATGTGGGGGGACAGGGTATACATGGGAAATTTCTGTATCTTTCAGTTCTGCTGTGAATTTGAAACTGCTATAAAAAATAAAGACTTTTAATAAAAAAATTATTGAAGTAACCATAAGTATTTTAAAAGATTCCTGTTCCCCTTTATAATATCTTTCTCAACCCCACCCACCGTATGCAACAACTGGCTTGTTTTCTGTCACTATATATTAATATTTTCTAGAATTTTGTACAAAAGGAACTACATTAGAATGTACTCTTTTTGTTTAACTCTTCACTCAGCATAATTATTTTGTTATTCAAACATGTTGTGTTGGGTAATGCCAGTTTATCTTTGTTGTTTATTACTCTTCCTTTGTATAAATACACCATAATTTGTTTATTCACTCACCTGTTAGTGGGAAGTTGAGTTGATTCCTGTTGTTGGCTATTACAAATAAATCTATCATGAACTAATGTACATGTTTTGCATAGTCATATTCTTTCATTTCTCATGAGTAAATGTCTAGGAATACACAGGATCACATGAAAAATTTATGTTTACCTTTGTAAGAAACTGCCAAATTGTTTTCCAAAGTTTTTGCATAATTTTGATTTGCAGGAATCTATGATAGTTCTAGTTGTTCCATATCCTCCCTTATACATGGTAAGGTTAATGTTTTAATATCTAGACATTCCAATTGGTTTGCAGTGGTATCTCATTATAATTTTATTATGTATTTTCCTAATAAGCAGTGTTGAGTATCTTTACATGTTCATTTGCCATCCACATATTTTTAGTGGTGTCTTAAAATACTTGCCAATTTGTTTCTAAATTAATTTTAGTTGGGGATCTTTGTTTTTAGAGAGTTCAGTCTTGTATACTTTGCATATAAGACTTATATCAGATATGTGATTTGCAAAGATCTTTTATCTAGACTGTGGGTTGCCTTTACATTCTCTTAAATGTCTTTTAGAAAAAAAAAGTTTTTAATTTTAATGAAATATAGCAGTTTACTTTATGGATCAAATCTTTGGTGTCCTATTTAAGAAATATCTAACTCAAGGTCACAATAATTTTCTCCTATGTTTTGTTCTAAAAGATTTATAGATTTAGGTTTAATATTTAGATCTATAATCCATTTTGAGTTAATTTGTATATACAATGTGAGCTATGAGTCAAAATCCATTTTTGTGCAAATGTACATCCAATTCTTCCAATATTATTTGTTAAAAAGAATATCATTTCTCCACTAAATTGCCTTAACAGTTCTGTGAAAAAAATTAATCACACATCTTAAGTCTATTTATGGTCTCTCTATTCTGCTCCACTTATCTCTATGCCGTTCATTTTGCTATTAGCATACTATCATGTTTACTGTGTTTTATATTAAATTTTAGATTTGTATGCTATAAATCCACTAACTTTGTTCTTTTTTTTAAGATTTATTTATGTATGCATACAAGAGCTGGGGTACAGGCCAGAGGTGCAGAGGGTGAGAGGATTCATCAGAGACAGAATGGGGAACAGAACAGGCAGACTGACGGAAATACACTGCTGAGGGGAGCAGCGGGCGAGTCAGGAGAGGTCTGCTGCGCCATTTGGGTTGCTCCTTGGCCGCCTGGGGATCGAACTCATGCTGTGGATGCTGCAGACAGCTTCATAGGTTGCGTCTTAACTCCTTGCGCCACCAGGGAGGCCCCCAACTTTGTTCTTTTCAAAATATGTTTTAACATTTCCATGTAAATTTTAGAATGAGCTCAATTTCTATTTTTAAAAGGCAAGGAGTTGCACTCAATCTATAGGTAAACTTGGGGAGAACCGACATCTTAATGACACTAAGTTTTCTGATCAGTGAACATGATATATATATCTCCACTTATTCATTTCCCTTCCTATCTCTCAGCAATATTTATGTAGTTTTCATTGTACAGGACTGCACATTTTTGTTTTATCCCTCCCTATGTGTTGCAAATTTTTGACACTATCGCAAAATACTTTTTAAAATTCCAATTTCCCATTTCTAATTGTTAGAGTATAGAAATGTAACTGACTTTTGTTTATCAATCTTAGGTTACTTGCTTTATTCTCTGATTGCTCTAAACTCATCTATATGTTTTAGGAACATTTTAGTTTTTTTTTTTTATTATTATTATTATTTTTTTTTTAAGATTTATTTATTTATTTATACAAGCACTGGGTACAGTCAGAAGCACGGGAGGGTGAGAGAATTCACCAGAGCCAGAGCGGGGAGCAGAGCAGGCAGAAGGACTGAAGTACACTGCTGAGGGGAGCAGTGGGCGGCAGGAGAGGTCTGCGCGCCATGTGGGACCCTCCTCCGGTGGCCGGGGAGCAGCCGGGGATCGAACCGGCACTGCAGAGGCTGCGGGCAGCATCGCAACCCAGCGCTCAACCGCTGCGCCACCGGGGAGGCCCGGAACATTTTAGTATTATCCAGAGAATTTCTACATTGGCAAATCATGTCACTTGCTAAAAAAAAAAAAAAAAAAAGACTACAACATCTTCTTTCTTTCCAGTTCAGATGCTTTTCCTTTTCTTGTTCTTGTCTTAGTCTTACTACACTGGCAATATTGAATAGAAGTGATGACAGCAAGCATGTTCCCGATCTTAAGAGAAAGGAATTTAATTACTCTTTCTCCATTAGCTATAAGAATTTGCTAGATGCCCCTGAAATCAAGGAAATTCCTTCCATTCATAGTATGCTAAGAGTTCTTATCAAGAATGGATGTTGAATTTTGTTAAGTCATTTCTCTGTAGCTACCGAAATAATCACATGATGGTTTTATTTATGTTTTTCAAAAAGTTTAGTCTTTTAATATGGTGAATTACAATTTTTGATTTTTGAATACTAAACCAACCATGCATTCCTGGCATAAACTCCATTTGGTAATAATGCATTATCTACTTTATATATCATTGGATCTTATTTGCTAAAATTTTATTAAGAATTTCTGCATCTATATTAATGAGGCATATTGAGCTGTAGTTTACTGTTTTTGTAAATTTGTCTATGTCTGGTTTGGGTATTAGGATATGCTCTTTTATAAAATTAGTGGGGCAACAGCAATTTTCCAGCCATTATGACATTCTCAACCCTGTCATCTGACTTCTCAAGCCAGTGAAACTCTGGTTTTTGTCTGGGTTCCAGCCATAGTTTGTTATTCAGACTGAAGGGTGTACTCACAAGAAAAGCCTCATAAATGTAGGTTTACCCAGTAATCCTACAAAGGTAGATGCCTCCTCTACTCTTTTTTTGCTTTGGGACACTCTCCTGTGCTATCATGTAGCTGTTCTATTTTGTCTAGAGTATTTACTTCTTATCTTAAAAACAGTTAACCCACCAATAATCAGAAATTAATCTCTTCATCTTCTTACCACTATATAAAGCCCATTTACTCTAAAATTACTCCACTCAAACTAATGTTACTCAAATAGGTGATTTGAATAACACTATTCAATTATTACTAATGGGTATTCCATTAGGAGGAAAGTGGGTTACATGATTAAACTGAGCTTGGAAATATAGCACTACAAAACAAGTAGATTTCTTTCCTCCAGGACTTTTAAACATTTTCCATAGGCTAGTATGCCTTCTATATCCCTAAATGGAATACACTTTTGAGATATTTTTCCAAATTGTTTCATATATAATTATGAATATTCAGATTCATTAAAAAATATTTACTGAGTACAAGAGTAAAGACTAGAACATGATTCTTTTTCTCCTAGTACATCTCTCTTTAGCCCATAAATCACTATCCCTTTTATCTTATAATTTTAACATCAGTCTCTGATTCCTTATGTTTAGGTTGACACTATTTAATCTTCACCAATACATACTTCGTAATCATCATATTTACATGATAGGGGTGGTGCTATTATATCAGGGGTATTGAGATAAAAATTTAGATTCAGCAGTCATTAAATTACATGGACTAGATAAAAGTACATGAAATTTCCTAACATGATATTCAGCACAGATCAGTAGTCGGATAAATGTTTGGTTCCCTCTTAAGTATTTTTCCCTCCTTTTGCCTGTTAGGCAGTATATTTCAGCAAGATTGATCAAATAAAGTCAAAATACATCCAGGAGCTTGTTTTACAGAGTCCAGGAGCTAAGTTTTTTTTGTTGTTAACTTTTAAAGGACAAATTAAAAAAATACAGGAAACCTTATATGATTCACAAAGGCTAAAATATTGACTATATGGTCTTTTACAGAATATGGGGCTGATCTCTGAGATACAGTTTAATCTCTATAGTTATTTAAAATAAGTACAGTAGAATTCATTTTATTAACTTAAATGCTTCAGTAGAAGCCTTGTTGTTTATTTTTTAAAAAATATATGTTAAAAACATATTTTATTAGTTTTATTACATTTGCAGAGGCCAGTCTCAGCTCTTACCTTCTGTCCTTTTATGCTACTACAGTCACACTTAGTTCCTGGAGAACACCCATAGCAAGCCTACAAGGAAGAGAAAGAGGGAGGAAAATCATTAAATATGAACATGAAAACCAGAGTCTGACTTACAGCTCAAATGAATTCAACAATCCAAACTTGTAAAACAAATATCAGGAAACTATCTGAAAGGATATGTACCAAATTGCAAATAATGATTGCCTCTGGGAAAGTTTCATCTTCTATTGTATACATTACTGATTGAATGTTTTACAATTAATCAATGTAATGTTTTCAATGTAATTTTTATAATTTTCAAGTAAAAAGTATCTTTTTTAAGAGACAGTAAAAATGAACAAGAAATTTATATGACTTCCTCATAGTAAATATGATTTGCCACTTGTTCAAGTTCTTAGGAACTTCATTTTTGCTCCCAACATGACTTGTAAGAAATTACTTCTCAATCTATATGAGCAATTGTTATAGGACAGGGAGAGGGGCAGCCCAAACCCCGCAAATCTGCTTATTCTAAATGGGTTCTGCCATCCGCCGCATCAACACAAAACACATGAGACTAATGGGAAGGATCTTTAATAAAACTAGGAAACAATACAGGTAAGGCAAAGAGTCTAGTTTCTAAATGAAGCACCCAAAGTTACCCGTCCCCTCGTGGGTAAAAGTCCATCCAAATGGGATTGGCCCAGAGCAAGGCCCCAAAGCCTGCTACAAGTCTAAAGCATCTTCCAGTGGGGACCCACAGAAAAGGGTCACAAACAACCAGACAAGCCCGGAAGGAAAAGAGCAAAATCAACATCAAGATAAAAGCTGCCATGGTCACCTCCCCACGGGTCTCACCCACATCTGTGTCACCCAGTCCACGACCAAAAGACAAGCGCAGTTTCTTCACGTGTCTCTAGGCTCCAAGCGCCTGCTCCAGGTCTCCTTCTGGCTCCATCCTGCTTCCTTCCTCAGTCTCTTCTGCAGCTTCTCCTCTTCCTGCTCAGCTCCACCCTCCCTTGGGTGGGGCAGGGAACCTGGAACCTCCCCCTTTCCTGGGGACCACCCTGTTGCACAATGACCTAGGCATTTATCCAAGAATGTCTGCCACTTGAAGCTGCTTTCTTCTTGAATTTCTGATGAATCACAGAGCATAAAATATAAAACTCTATCTTTTACCACTTATCTTTTCTTTACTCTCACTCTTATCACTAGTAGCTCACTTCCTCACAGTCTGTATTTTACTACAAATGTTGCTTCCACAATCTAGGTGTTCTATATAGCTACTACTAACAATTCACTCACTCATCTTAGGAATTGAGGGCCAGAAGACAGAAAAATATCCTCCTCTAAAATCATAACCGATAGAACAAAAGATGATAGATGACTTCTGTCATCCAAACTAGCCTTTACACTGGCATGAATCTGAACTGCTTAGAAAAATAAAACAATTACTTTAACATATGTAGATAGTTCAGCATTTATGTACTATAAGGCTTCTCATCAAACAGAGAAATGTTTTATGTGATAAAAATAGGAAACTGGGTTCAACAATGTTAAGCCTTGGGAGCCTATTACTTAAAAAGTACCTTAGTCTTCTTACCAATCTTCCATTCTTTCCATACTCCAATCATCACCAGAGCACCTTTCCCAATCCTTATCAAAATACTGACCTTATCCTTCTACTCAGAACTTCTAACCCATTCAGCTGTAATCAGGAGCCACCCCCATGATAGGAACTCCTTTTCCATATTATAAGAGCAGCCAAGCATGGCTTGAGGTTGGGGGGTATCCCTTGCTCACATTGCAAAAGCTATTTTAGTAAAAGAAATGTTCTGACATCTTTAATTGAAAGTTTCCTATGCAGTAATTATTTATTAATACAATGATGATAGGTTACATACTCTGATTTAAGTACTATATGTCAACTATATTACATATTAAATAGACTTACTCAGATATATTCACTTATCGAACATGAATAGAATATTACAGTCCATAAAGCTTGTTAGGCACTAGGGAGATAAATAGGAATAAGACAGAGCTCCTTCCAACATATATAACTAATTCAAAAAATGCTTACTGATCATCTGTGATGTGCCAGTCACTTACATCATGTTAGGTACAGAATGAAATACAAAGACAATTAAGTCATTGCTTTATAATAGAAAGGATAATCTTATACACAAAAATTATTATACATTAAGTCAGGAACAGAGGTCAGTTTTAAATATATAATACTTCTTTGTGCAAATGTAAATTTTAGATTACAATCTACAAACTTACAAATTTTAGAAGATACTGATTTACAGGATAAGAACTATCAAAAGCCATATTCACTGAATTAGATTGCATATATTATCAACATTCAATTACATGAATTAATGTTAGACTAAATGATAGTGATCATCTGAATTGATAATTAATAATAATTAGCATTAGACTTTGAAAAGTTTGCCTGCACTTTATATGTAAACATGTGCATAGTATTTGGTGTTATAAATACAAGATGCTGTAACTTTCCAATTTCAGTTTTCATTAAGACATCTTCCTTCTTAAAATACAAATTAAGCTCCTGAGAATACAAAGCAATAGTATAATAAAATTTCATTAATATGGACAAATTACTATACAAATTTTATTTATAATTGTATTTATACCACCTATTGAACAATAACCTCCAACTTTTAGCATAATTTATTAACAAAATCCTTAAATGCTTGTGTCATTTTGAAGTAATTTCATATAATATTTTTCTTAAAAATTATTAATTTCATCTTTTTACACTTACCACTTAACATGAAGTTATACATTAGAGATATCATTACTTCAAACATTTAGTAATTACATAGAAATTTGTTTGAATTCGATTTAATATTGTAGTTTATATTCTATTTATTCCACCCAGGTTATTATAATGACTGTGGTACTCATAGTTTTAAAAAACGAGGGGGTAGGTCAATTGCATTACACAAACCAACCACTAGGTGCCACTTTCCATACAGTTATAGCAGTGGTGCCCAAAAGGAAATAGGCCCAATTTCACAATGGTTAATGGAACAATTTGTTTTACCAACTTATAAAATTTATTAGATGCCTACTAAGAACAAAACACAATGTAAAGGCTATGAGCTGTACAAAAAGATATGTTCACATGGTAACTGCTTTTACAAAACTTCCAATCCAGTTTGAAAAGAAAATGCTAGGTCCAAATAAATGGAAATAAAATTTAAACACAGTGGAGTAACACTATAGCAGACATTGGTAACAGAAAGAGCTCTAAGAAACAAGAAATTCCTTAAGAGTTTAAACTTCTGCAACTGAATTATTAAGAGACTCTGGATAAGTCATTCCCATGCTCTTGGATTCTCTTTTCTCTTGGATAAAATTACAGAGATAGAAAATATGATCCCTTTAGGTGGCTTCAGAATTTTATAGTCTGTGATTCACTACAATTTCCCAAGTGAAAATGAGTGACATAGTCAATAATTGCTATCAAAGTTAAAAACAGAGTTACCTTTAGCCTGGGAGAGTTCATAAAGCTTCTGTGTAGAGCTAAATAACTCAATTTCAGTTTTGAAAGATAGGCAGAAAGATATCTATAGGAAAACATAGCCACACTAAGCACTAAGATTAAAATACATTTTTGTAGGCAGAATCAGGTAAAACAAACACTGAATACCTCACTCTAAAAAAGACTTCTCAAATTTATTTGAAAATAGTACAATAGCAGATAAGGCTGATATAAAATTTTTGCAAATCACGGAAAATTATTTAATTCTAAAAGTCACTTAAGTCTACTAAAACAAGAAACTGATACAATAGCAATGTTTTATTTTGCATAAGTAATGAAATAAAAAGATTTTTATTCATATAGTAAAACATATCCTAAGACCACAATAATTAAAACTGTATGGTACTGCCCAAAGAATACAGTTCAATGAGCCAAAATAGACAAGGCAGATGCAGACATGCACACACACATGCAGACATTTGCATGCACCTGTGTGCATGCATGCACACATACACACATGCACACACACACACACACACACACACACCACTAACCATATAAAGAAAGTTGGCATATGAAATAGATGTGAAAATAATAAAAACAGTGCTAGGACAAATATAGAAAATGTAGAAAATAACACATTTAGATCTCAGGCTTCTATAATCAGGAAAATGTCAAATATGAAACTCAAAGGTACAAATAAAAGCAAGCTATACATCAATATCATTTAAAGAATGTCATAAAAATTCAGGTACTAGGGTCCCATCCTACAGAATCAGTCTTATTAAGCTTGAATTTAGCTATTAGAATTTGAGAGCTTTATAAATACCTCTAGATGATTCTGATTCAGGCATATATCAAGATATGTACTATAAAATAACAACATATTAATGTTTTTGTGACCTTTGGGTACATTCCTACTAGTAGAATTTCTGGGCCATATGGTAGCTCCATTTTTAGTAGTTTTAGGGTCCTCCACATAGCTTTCCATAGTGGTTGGACCACATTGCATTCCCACCAGCAGTGTAAGAGAGTTCCTTTTTCTCTGCATCCTCACCAGTATTTGTTATTGCCAGTTTTTTTTTTTTTTTAATATGGGCCGTTCTCACAGGTGTGAAGAGGTATCTCATTGCAGTTTTGATTTGCATTTCCCTTATTATAAGTGATATTGAATATTTTTTCATATACCTGTTGGCCATCTGCATTTCCTCTTTGTTTATTGCAGCACTATTTAGAATAGCTAAGAAAAGTGTGGAAACAACCTAAATGCCCCAAAACAGATGACTGCATCAAGAAGATGTTGTATATATACATGATGGAATAACATTCAGCAAACAAAAAAGACAAGCTCATGCCATTTGCAGCAATATGGATGGAGCTAGAAGGGATTATGTTCAGTGAAATAAGTTAGAAGTAATAAGAAAAATATCACATGGTTTCACTTATAGGAGGAATATGGGGAAACCAAACAAGGGATCAGGAAAAAAAAGGGACAAAACTAGAAGGCAAACTGTATATCAGAGACATTCAGCAGAGGAAGGGGACAGGGGGATCA